AAGTCAATAGTATACTAAAAAAGATGATTATGATTAGTTTTATTATTGAAGTAAAAGTCTGGTCATGTTAAATAAAGCAAAACAAGCGAACAAACAGTCCTTTAGACCGTGTCGTTACCAATTTCCTCTTGTTGTATTTGTTATGATTGAGTTGGGAGCTGGAAAACTACGAGATCGCATTTGGAAATTGAGCTTTACAAAGTTTGATTTAATCATGCCTGACAAGAGTGATGTCACCATTGAGCAATATTAGTCATAAAAGGAGATCTACTGCTCCGTGTTGGTGTAACGATTAGTACAGACATTCGTGTTCGACACACGAGTGTCGGTATGGATTTAATTTAGTAGTGAGTGTTTGATAAGTCAAGCCATTCGCATTTATGACCCCAATAGTCACCTGTCATGTGGAACGCCGTTTCCTTCACTTTTTTTTTTCTCTGGGTAGAAAACAGAAGATAACAAAGTTCAAGAACCATTGTAATCTGGTGATTGTCATTTTCAAAGGGAAGTACTCAAAGTAACAGTAACAGTGCGTTATCTTTCTGCATAAAATTAAATGAATGGTGTGAAAGAATAAAATGTGAAAAATTAAGAAATAGCTCCCCCACTATCTTCCTTTGGCTGTTTTCTCACAGAGCCAGTAGACAAACCAACACCAACAGCTGTGTACCCAGCCACTCGAACTCTATAGGTTGTAAACTCAAGTCCTGTTAATTAATCTGACAGCTTATCAGGTCCAACAGTCTTGTTGTGCTCTGTTGAAGATCCAAGCCACTTGTGGTAAATTAGGTAACCCCAAAAGCTTTCCATTCTAATATTAAATAGGAATGGCATCTCAAGATATGTCTACGGTTAGGCGAAGAACTGGAACCACGGGTGGCCCAAGCTCTGTCACAGGCTCTTTCACAGTCATGATAATTAAAGAGTTTGTATAGTGGTTTAGTTGGACTTGCTTTTGAGCTCCGTAAACGTAAAGTTGTGTGAAATAATCAAAGAAATAAAGTCTTACCTTCGTATAGAGTAGTCTGTGTTGTTCTCCTCGCGATTTGAGGCCCTTTTTGATGTGTTTCAGCTTCACGCCCTAAATTACCGTGCATAAAATACGGGAAGGTCGGAAACTTCTGTTGACACATGCTCGCCAAAATCGCTGGAAAACAACACTTAAATACTTTCCCTCGAATCAAAACTCGGCAGCACGAAAGCCAATTAGTTTCCCTTTAAGCTCACCGAAAAAAAAAACCCACAAAAGTCGGTTTGTCGAGCAACCAATCCAGCGAGAATTTCAAATTAACGGCCATTCGGAATTCTTCTAATGCGTGGAGGGAACTTCTTGTGCAGCTGAGAGACCGTTAATGCGCGGTCAACTTGGAACCTAGTCAAATCTCTCTCAACGTTTCCTCCCCATAGTCTTCTAATACCAACTCTTCACACATACTGAGGTACCCCGGGTAAACTCATTGACTTGACTAGATCGTCGATACTGTCTATCTTCACTGTTTTCAATGGATTTTTACAAATATGCTCGTACCCGTGGATTGAGAAATTGGAACAACTTATATGGTGTTTAAGGAACAGAGCTAAGGCCAGGA